CCCCAAAACCCCAAAACCCCAAAACCCCAAAACCCCAGAATATTAGAGCAATGTTGAAAATCCCTTTAGGTGTAACTACTTTATCCAATAAAATCTATTTTATCAAGAATCTTTTCCATGTTGCCTCTATAAAAGACGTGGCCGCTGGCTTCTTTAGTCACATCAAGATTAGCTAGTCTATAGCCATTTCTAGAGTCATCCTCTTCTTCCTTCGCTTCTACATATCCATGATCATCCTTGAGAATTGGACCCAACCCAATAGGATATTGGAAAAGAGTGGCTCTACATATTTGTAAGATGTAGTCACTTGTGCAGTAGCAGTTGTTATTGACTCCGTTAGTCACTGAAAGACTATGCTTCCAAGCATCTGAATCTGTGACTGATGCAGCTCCTCCCAGGAAATATACATTGTTGACTAAATTATTAGAGTTTGACTTACTGATATGATCGCATTCATAAGCTTTGAGTTCTTCCAAACAGCTGTAAATTACTTGGGTCCCAAGAGAGAATCCAAGTAAAGTAATTGAAGTGTCTTTGAAGGGGAACTGAGACATCAATGAATGAGCAAGAACCTTCCCTGTTGCTTCAGCCATTTTCATACATTCAATAAATTGCTTTCTGACTTTATTAATTACATCTATTCCTTGTGCTGCGATTCCTAATGTTTTACTGATAGTTTTGATAAACCATTTCATGCTGGAAGAAAATCCTGGCTTAAGAATTGCCTTTAAGACATCCCAAATTGTGGAAGCTGCATATGAAAATGCATAGATTGGGATGTTGGAGTTGCCGATGAATTGATCTATCATTCCTTGCCAGTTCTTCTGCTGTGAATCATTAGTCTCACTAGTCCATCCAGAAATAGCAATGATTGCATGCTTTGAGAATGTTACATTTGGAGTGATACATTCAAATTTGGCCATAAATCCATCTATAAGAAACAGAATGAGCATATAAAGACAGTTCCTTTCTAATCCCTTAAATGGGACACCTTACCATTATCACTAATGAGTTCTGCAGACTCCTTGAACATCTTTTTAAGAATTTTGGCAGTAAGATTCGTATCCTTGTGTTTGAATTCTTTGGTAATGGCCTGGATATACTCCTTCTGAAAATCTGAATCTGTAGTGATCTGATCCATGAAAGCTACGTAATCGACTGTGTTTGGAGGTCTGGATGCAATAAAATCTTTGTAGTAACTGGAAGAAAACATATCTAAATGTGAGCATATTTTATGATAACTTACCTTTGTTACTTCCATAAAATATCTTGGATATTTTCTTGTATAGCATCAGATACATTTCCTTTCCTTTAGCTCCTGGATAGAGATGAGCAAGGAAGTTCGACATGTAGTAGTCCAGAGCTGCTTGGTTGACCTATACATGGTAAGCACTAGTACCAGAATAGAGTTTACCTTATAGTGAATGTCATGTTTGTCTTCAACTATTCCGAGAAGATATATAGCGATGTTCCAAATTACAAAATATCTTTGATCACCTAACCCTTTGTCAAAAATATCTTGTCTTAATTGTTCGGACTTCGCCCTGCTTAAATTTTTTATATCTTGGTGAGCTTGGTGAATGATCTCTTCAGAATCCTCTCCTTGAGTCTCAGCCCAGTAAGCGTACCACTCAACAAGCCCAGAAAAGGAGTCTTGGATCCTTCTTTGGTCAGCTTTAGATTTGGGAGTCTGGCAGAGATAAAAGTAAGTAAAGAGCTGAATGACTTGGCTAGTTTCAATATCGAAGGCAGCTGATTTCCATGGTATCTTGGGGCTATATTGTTACACAACCAGGGTATACCATTTCTTCAAGAACTTTGAGAAATCATTTGCAAAGCTCTGCACTTCTTCGCTTGAGCTGGCCAAACCAAGAGTATAGTCAAAGGCTTCTCCAGCGTCATCCCAAAACTTGAGATTAAATGCAGAGGATATCATCTCAGGGAATATAGGAAGCTCAGATTTTATAGAGTTAATTATTGGAGGCTTATGAGACCTCACAAAAGATTTCACCTTCCTTGGCTTTGCTGAAGAGTCTTCATAGGATTTTGTTTTAAGCTTGTTGTAAATGGATATTTTGGAGATATGATCTCCAGTGTAAGTAGCAATTTGGGAGTTCACTTCTGAATACCTCCCTGGATGAAATTCTTTCATGAAGCTAAGGATCAAGTCATCACGTATCTTTCTCAACTCTTTTTTAGTCTTTGTTAAATCTTCACGAAGATGGGCTTCTTCTTTATCCACTTCTGATTTCAAGCTAATTACTTCATCTTCAGAAGAATCAAGAGATGTATCACTTGATTTGATATCTTCCAGACATCCATTAATAATATCTTCAGTTTCATTCTCTAACTTTCCTACACTCAATCACTCCTTCCCCTCAAAACTAATCCTTACCAATATTTTCCAGATATTTCTCAAAAGAAGCTTTGCCTTCCTTCTTCTCAAAGAAAGCTCCAATCCTGACTAAAAGTTCAAAATTAACTTCAAACACCTCAAATCTTAGTAATCCAAAATCCAGAGACAACAGAACTTAACGTACCGATCAATTCAAGCCTTGTAATCACAATCTGAGCATTCTCAAACCCAGTTTCGTCTAAATACTTTTTTAAACAGACAAATACCTTGGATTTCAAATCTATTAGTGGCCTTCATTAAATTTTATGTGGGATTTTGAGTTTCAATATTGGGTTTTAAGGTTGGGGTTTTGGGGTTTTGGGGTTTTGGGGTTTTGGGGTTTTGGGGTTTTGGGG